AGCAGATTCATAGGGGGTGGTTGATATTCTGGTTGTGTAGCAAAACGGAGACAAGTATTTCTTAATTGGCGTTGAAGATCACACTTTCTCTTCTTCTTTTCCATCTCTCGACGCTTGCTCTCAATTACAATTGCTCTATCCACCAATGTTTGATAGTCGACATACACAACGGTCATCAGTTGTAGTTGCAAATCATCATTCAGTCCTTTCAAAAAAAGTATTTCTGTTTCTCATCATCATTATCGACTTATTCTGGAGCATAGCGCGACAACTGAGTGAACATGTCACGATACTCACACACAGTCATAGATCCTTGTTTGAAAGCCCGGAACTCATCTGGCTTGAGTTCTACCACACCTATGGGAATGTGGTACGACCTGAAGCTCTCGTTAAACTCCTTCCAGGTGATCTGTCCAACATTGTTAGAACATCCATACTGATAAGACTCTCACCAGTCTTGTACTGCGCCCTAGAGTTGGCCGGACACAAAAAAACACCATCTCATGGTCATCTCACTAAGTTATGGCCAATTATCGCTCCACAGCTCTAAACCAGTCATCAGCTTCTATTGGTTCGCTTGTATGAGAGAATGTCAGTGGATGTCCCTTCATAAATTCACCACATTTATCAATAGGTGGCGCTTGATATGGGTTGTTCAACACACTTTGAGCAATAGTCTGTAATAACTGAGTCTGCGTCATCAAAGTTTGCTCTATAGATGGTGGATTTGATAGCGGTGGATTACAATTGGCAGAATTCCTTCGATCATCATGCGAAGCACTTCTCCTGGTAGCAACCATCTATTTTCAACATGTATGAATTAGAACCCAATCGGTCATAACATCCTTAATTGTAGCTTCAAGAGATGACAAGATAGGATTGATGCAATAGAGACAAGAGAAGACCAAACCCCAGAGATAACTGATACTTCCAAATGAAGCGCTAGAATGTAAGAAACTTTATCTTACAAATCCTTCAACTGCGCTACCCCCTTAAGAAAAGATCAACTAGGGAACACAAAAAGGTTAGCTTGCACCTCCTTCTAGATGAGCTAACTAGTATCAAGATGTTCTGATATCCCAATAATACTCTTGTGTATGGGCAATGACAAGAAATTTAAAATTCCTCGCGGGATGAAAAACAGCAGCATAGTAAAACAGTTGTAACTCTCATTCTGTTAATACAATGAAGTTGTAGTATATACTGTTGGAAAGCTTATCAAATTCTCCACAACTTCTTTATAGAACACTTTTTCAAATTCTACAGTTTAGGTGGTCGAAAACAGTTCACAACAAAAACTACCTCAGATTTTAGACAGCGCGGTTGCATCGTCTTGTGATTTTCATAACTTCATAACCAACATAGCTATCAAGGTGATTCTTGTGGTCAGAGAAAGATATTGAAGTATACTGTTGTACAAAATTTTTCTATGATTTTTGTTTGTCCAAAAACAGAGATATAACCCGATAAAGACAGTTTGCTCCGAAAGACAGGATAGAGAAAATAGAGATAACCAAAACCCGACTATTTATTTCATTAATCCTTATACCTTAGGCCTATGAACTAAATAAAATTGTGGGAACACCCAATAAGATCATTGCAATCATTACAAAGACTCAAAACAAGCATAAGCATAATGACAATTCAACAAAGCACTAAAGATGCACAACTCAATGATTGACTCAATTTACAATACTATCGTCCTCATTGCACTAGGGGTAACAATCCTAAGACTCAACTTCAGATTACGCAAGAAGGTGGTGAGAAACAGTTCTAAAAGCATATCAAACCAAGAAATAAAGATGAGAACAAAGACTTTAAAATAAGCACCAAGATAGAGATAAATAGCAAGGGTAGAGATATAGGAGAAGAAAATATTAAAGTTCATAGAGCAAGGGTTTTTGTAGCAACTTCTAAACCTTAGAACGACCAATTTTACTAGACTTCCGCCTTACAATCAGCATTACTTTGATACCACTTTGTAGCACCCGATTTTAAGAACAAAACGAGATACACACCATATATGAGCACATAAAGTTAAATCTCACATATAGCTACAAATAAAGGTAATATCAATAGACAATGCTCAATATATAACGTACTTAAATATAAAGAATATAACCTTAGATAGCAAATAGCGGAAAGACAACTCCAACTTCGGATGAAGACTCCAATTCCACAGGGACAACTGACTGGTTGATCACAAGCCTAATTCATCCAAACTCTAACAATCTGGTACCCATCTAGAATTTTTCCAAAAAAATTTAAAAAAATAAAGCAAGCATAAATACATGTCGTACTCAACAAATATAACATGGGATTCATAAGGCTTAAAAAGGTAACAATGGTTTACTGCGATTAGCTTTTAATTGTCACAATTTTAACATAAGAATAGCAACAAGTTTATCACAAGCCCATATAAACACATGATCAGATAAACATGAATAATGAATAGCATAAATAGTAATCATTAGTGAGCATCTTTATCATCAGTATCATGTGTCCATCATCTATTCCATAAGGGTCTAAGGCCGCTCGTGACCATGAGCACGGCTGATACCAATTTTACACTCTGCATAGGTTGTACACTTTCACTGTGAGTCGTGATTTACCCTTTCATCCGAGGCGACCAATCTCTTGACCCACTACCAAGGAAGATCGACAGGATTTACTATAAAGCCTTTCAAAAGTTTGTCTAACAAGTTAGGACCGCTAAGGTTTCCCACCAATAAGCATGAAACCCTCTCCAAGGAGTGACTAACAAAATACCAAGAAACCAAAGTGCACCCTGTTGACAGGCCGAGATCATACCTATCGGAGCCCCTCTTATGCCATAAAGGTAACCACTAATAAGTTAGAAAAGGTCCTTATACTGAGCTAAAGCTAAAGCCATGTAGCCCTCACAGCTGTACTGTAGGTCCCGGATGTTCGCTTATAGATAAGTTCTTATGGAGAGAAATCTAGAGCATCATAAAAACAGCCCAATGCTCTAGCCCCTTTGTTTCATGTTGCTTAAAAGCATCTTTTCATGTTTATTACATATTCCATTAGTCAAGTTACAAGATCATGGTTATAGTTGAGCACTACCATCATATTACCCAATGCATAAACCCATAGGAATCAAGAAATTCATGATATCAAATAGCTAGAAAATTACTACGGTTGACAAGGTAGACACATGCATATGAATGCATATGATTAAAATGATATTAAGTAAATAGGACAACAAGAAGATCTCATGTTATACTTGTCTTAAACTCAGATCCTTCTTCTATTGAATTATAACCTCCAAAAGACTTATTCTGAATCACCGACTTCTTTTATATCACCAACGCAAAGCTCATCAACTGGACAAGTTTAAATCTAACCTCGGATTTCAAAGTTGAAAACAAGTTTAATAGTAAGATAAACATGTAGATTACGCAATTACGAATATAACGCAACTTGAACGGGTCAAATCGGAGTTAAAACAGAGATTTTATGGCTAAAACAAGATCAGTGGCACTTCTGTAAATAGCTGGAACTTAATTTTTAGAATTTAAATTAATAAAATCGGATCTTAAACTGAGCCAGGGACGGCGGGCATGAAAAAGAAATACAGGGGTTCTTTAGAAAAAGTGCAGGGACGGCGGGTTCTATTACACGAAACTGCAGGGGCTCTTTTGAAAGATTGTCGGCCGAAGGGGTATCTTCTAATCTAGGCCGTTGATCTCAGATCGGGCGATGCAGATCAAATAGGGATACGGGGGTCGCCAGAACGGTGCTGTGCGCGGCGGTGCCATGGCCGGGGAGCTCGGCTCCTCGCCGGAGTTCACAGGGATGGCCCTAGAGGCCACGGCTAAACTCGGGGATGGCATGGGAAGAAAGAGGGAAGCACGGCGAACTCACCACGACGCTTTTCGCGGTCGGAGACGGCACGGAGGCGGCGGAGCGACGACGGACAGCGGCGCTAGGGTTTGCAGCGACGACTACGCTTAGGGCTGGATGGGGGGGGCGTGGCACGGCGCTCGGCTTTTATGGGGCGTGAAGGCGTGGAGCGCACGGCAGGGCGACGATACGGAGCAGCGGTGGACTCTGCGGTGGCGAAGTACGGTGAGGACACGGCGCAAGGTAGAAGACGGAGAGGACGCTAATAGGCGGGCCCCACAAGTCAGCAACAGGGGGCGCAGGAGAGAGAGAGCGACGACGCTACTCTGTTGGGCAGCTTCTTCTTGGCCAGCTCAGCCCGAGAGAAAAAGCGAGGAGAGGAAGGCGGAGTGGGCCACATGGCCAGTGTGAAACGAGCGGGCCATGAGAAGAGGGCGGAGCAGGCAGCCGGCGGGATTAGGAAGAGGGGAGAGGGAACAGGGCCAAGGCCAACAGGCTTTCTAGGCCTAAAGAGAGAGTGAGGAGCGTGCTTTTCTTTTTTTTCTTTTTTTTTCAAAACTATTTCAAAAACATTTTAAATAAATTTGAATTTGGATCAAACCACTCATCACAAAAATAAGTATGCATCAGCATGAATGCACAAAAATGTTGCTAAATTCCTATGATAAATTTTAATTTAATGAAAATTATTATTTTTCTTATGTTTTCATGAGCACACAAATTCAAAATTAATTCCATTTCTCTCTATTTCAAAAGGAGCAATTTTTAGAGTGTTACATGGGTATGCCCTTTAATTATAGATCATCGTAACATCAAGTCATATTTTAGTCAAAACATATAAATTTCTATCAACGGCTCACTTAAAAAAACAACTATTTGTGCCCCTGTTGTAAAGTTGAGATGCTCCGGTGTAAAAATATTCCATGATAAGCTCAATGCATAAAATTCTATGTGTAGTACATTTTCAGAGTTCATATTTTTCTATATAATGAAGGATAAGTCTCAATCCCGCATCAAACATTCTATGTGACACCTTCCCGGTACATTTGAGTTTTATATTTTTCTATATAATATTCTCAGGTCTTTTCTTTGACAAGTAACATGAACATAATTGGAAGGTGTGAATTACTCACCCAAAGGCAAGGTTAGTCCAGCCTTGGCAACTGCATCAGGTATGGAAGACGGATCTTTCATGATGACTAGTTGTCGTGGAGCGCAAACCTCACCTACAATAATTTATCACAAGAAATAATAAAGAGAAAAGCTCGAGATTTTATTTCCCCATAATAAAAGGTACATAACTCATCCAGTTACATGGCAATATTAGAATAGTAATTTTACATTTTAAGCAAGCTACAGACTCATTATGAATGTTCAAAAGTAGAGCTATCCAACTAAGCAGTGTCTCTGATCGCAAGCCAATATAATTATAGTTTCCAAAAGAATACCAATAATAAAATTGACTAATTAGGATTTCACCTAATACCAGTTAAATTTAAGAGAGCACATCAACAATTGCGCAGTTCGTTTCCTCATTATTGTGTCTTTGCAATGGCGCCCTCTCCCTCTCTTTTAGGATTAGTAGGGTCACTGTTACTATGTTACTCTAGTCTAGATCACAACATATCAAATTAACTTACACTAAAAGAATATAACAAGAGCAAAGATAGCTCATCACATAAATCTATTTGCTAATACATGAATGCCAACACAGTAAGAAAAATTACCATAACCATTGGACAAGTTCAAATCAGCAACTTCTTGTAGCATTGATTGGCTATTGTGCAAATGTTGGATAGCATTTGGTGGGTCGAGGACAGTCACTTCTGGATGCTCTTCACGATAGTCCTTCAAGAATATGAAAAAATTGAATTGCAGAGGAAAACACAATAGTCTACATTAAGAATGTTTAATGTGAAAGTACTGCAGTAAGTCTCAAAATGTTGCAATCATGCTTTTAACTGAAACATAATGCCTAAATGCATGTTGCGAATAGAAACAACTACACGAGAAACATAATAGTAGCTACACAGGATGCACACCCTGTTAGGAGGTGTACACAACTATACATGGCATAAAAGAAGGCTTCCACTTTGGTCCTCAGAGCTTACCTCCAAAACTTGCTGCCACTCCTTACTAGTAAGCTGACAAAAAGAAAGCATGAAATTCAGTCAAAGCAAACAAAATCAGCATGGGAGTACAAAAGCAGAGAAGTGCATCTGGATGTTCAAAAGAACCTATGCAAGAAATAAAGGATACCCAAAATTACAATATCCAAGATTTAATTTAATCAACCTCAAAGAGAAAGACATAGGGATGGACCTTGTGCAAAATGATGTCAAATGGACCTTGTTCAGAGAGAGGGCAGGTTTCATCAATTGATACGAACTGAATGCCTTTCTTCCTAAACAAATGCAGTATTACAAAAGGCTCATCAAGTGGTATAAAACCAAGGCAGGTAAGAGTATAATGATCATATTAACAAGCATGAACTAGCAGGATCATCTAAAAGCAACAAATGGAAAAATATTCAGGCAGCTTCAACACCTCAATATAATAAATAAATATTTATGAAACTGAAGTAGAAAGGATAATCACATCTTGGAAACAAATTTTAAGATTTCCTGAGTTACGTAGGCTCTACTTGATTTTAAACAAGGAAACCAAGAAATAATATATAAACCTATTCAAAGTAAACTTAAGGTTGAGTACTGACAAAATAATATAGCCTGTTTGTGTATGATCTTATATCCCTGTAGCAACCTCAAGCCACATATTATCAGAGTTTCATAATAAGATTTGTTGATCCAGAAACTTCATGTTCTTCCAATATAACAAAGAATAATGCACCATAAGCATCCAACCTTTCCTATTTTCAAGTACATGACTACATGAGACATCATAATTTTAATAAACAAATCCAGAACAATAAACATACTTGATTCAGAAGTAAAATGCTTGAGAGACTTATTGAAACACGCAAAATCTATACAAACTATGCTTCAAAAGAACAACAACAACAACAAAGCCTTTTAGTCCCAAACAAGTTGGGGTAGGCTAGAGTTGAAACCCAATAATTCTCTTCTCTTCTCACAGAGAAAACAAAGATGTCCCTGTTCCAATTATTTCATTTCCTTTTTCCACCATCTTTTATCGATGTGAGCATGTACCAAGTCTTTGTCAATTCATAATATCCACTTTGTAGTATAATTTGGGTCAATCTTAATTCAAGAAGTTTTAGACTTTGCCAAACAGACAGGCAGATTATTTTGGTCATCTGGTCATTTTAAACACATATCCAAGACATGTGATGTAGTTATCCACAAGAATATTCCAACATGAGAATCCAAGATGCCATCCAAATGTAATCTGCATATATAAAATTAGATGGATACTGAAAGCTTGAATTAGAATTAACATTTGACGAGCAAGCCTCCCAGACTGCTTCCAGCACTAGTAAAATAATATGCCCCCAAGTCCAAAGCTATGGAAACTCATGCAGAAGCCACTAGGCATGCACTCAAGTGTGACGAGATCGGGTCCACAGAGAATACGCAGTCAATTCCATCCCATTCCATCCAAAACCACAGAAATTAAAACAGTTAACAATAAAATAAGTTCCCCCCAATTCGTACCCTACTGAATCAAAAAAAAAAATCACTTCCCTTTCGAGGATTTGTCCAACAAGGGTAACAACATAGTCTGATCAGAATGCAGATTGAACATTTAATAAATCCCCCACCCACTCAAAGTATAACCACCATTTCGTTTGCGTTGGTCCAGAAAAATTAAATGGAACAGAAACCACATCCCTATCAGTCAGTCAACCAAATCGGCCACCACAGTCCACAGCACCCCACACGCCTCTTCTCCTGTGGGGGAGAGAACCACACAAAAGATTCCAGGCTTTGACGCGGGGGATCAGCGGGTCTCTTCTTTCTTTACCTGGCGAGCGCGAGCAGCTTGGGCTGCAGGAAGCTCTTGACCTTCTTCTTGGTGAGGGCGTACCCCACCACCAGCGGCTGCTGCTGCTGCCCCGCAGCGGAGGCGGGCGGCGGTGACGAGGGCACCACCGTCTCCCCGACCACAGTCATAGCCGCGGCGGCCGCCTCATCGTCCGACACCTCCCCGTGCACCCTCATCCCCGCAAACCCTAACCCTAACCCCGTCGAGGAATGGCAATGGTACCGCCCCCCAACGAAAAAATACCTCGAAAAATCGGAGAAAATCCAGGGGAAAAAATCGGCAGCGATCGGGGGCAAGGAATTCGCGGACAGGGACGGTTCAAGATGGAAGATTTTAGGAGGGGATGGGATAGGAGCAGAGAAGATGATTTTTTTTTCGCACAAAGTGATTTCTTTTTTTTATTTACATATTTAGGTCGTGTCACTGACACATGAGTTTATACCACTGACATGAAGCTCTAACCACTGACATAGAGCTTTGCGTTTAATGGCGAGGCGAGTGTGGAGAGAGAGAGAGGGGGTCTGGGCTTGTTTAGGTACACTCAAAATTCCAAGTTTTTTCACTCTCTTTCTCCATCACATTAATTTTTAGCTGTTTATATGGAGCATTAAATATAAGTAAAAAAATAACTAATTGCACAGTTTAGTTGGAAATCACGAAATGAATCTTTTAAGCTTAGTTGGTCCACGATTGAACAATATTTATCAAATAAGACGAAAGTGTTAATATTCATCAGGTTGAAATTTTTTTCAATCTAAACAAGCGGAGGGTATTTGTAGACGACGAAGGGGAAGGAGCAACAGCAAGAGCACGGCACGGCTGACGGCCCACAGGACTGCTGCTCGGATCCTCTACGGCTGCCCACAGGACTGAGCAAAAACCGTCATCTTCTCCTCGTGCGTGACTTGTACTCCCTTCCTACCAAACTGTAATTTGTTTTAGCTTTTTTCTAAATATCATTTTGTTATGCACCTAGACACACATTATATCTATATACATAATAAAAGCTACGTATTAAAAAAAGCCACAACCACGGGCCTGTTTAGAACACAAGAAAAAATATCATGTTCTTGCGTTTTTCCTGTAAAATTAAACTAATTTGTGTGAATTCTTGTGTGATTCATGTGACATTCCTATGTTCCAAATAGGCCCTTACAAATTGAAATGGTGGGAGTATTTTATAATACAAAACTTAATTATCCTATATATTATTATATGTTCATCCATTTTATAGTAAAATGAAAGATACTTTGGTGCATTTGAGAAACATATCTTTGCATAGAATAAGAAAGTAAATTGAAATGGTACAAATATACAACATCTCTCTGGGGGCAAGAGGGAATAGTTGCTTCTCTACTTCAAACTGTAAAATTTACAAACATGTACGGGATAGGAGGAAAAGGCTTTTTGTCAAATATAGGTCCCCTATATTATTAGGATTAATATGATACTCATCCAATTTTTTTCCTGAAGCCCATCTACAAATAACTCCAAGGTTAAGCGTGCTTGGCCGGAGCGATGGGATTTGAAATTCCGGGTGCATATCTTTGCATAGAAGAAGATATAAGCGGGCACAGCCTCGGAGAGGCGGGACGTTACGAATGGTATCGAGCCGACTCTCGCATGGTTTCATGGGCGCGTGTGTCGCGATTTGCGCAGCATGGTGTGCATGGTGGTGTGTGATCCGATGTGGTCACAACATCTGGCTCTGAACACAGACGGCTTGGGATTGATCGACGAGGACGTCGATCTCTTAGTAGAGAGGATGTAACACCCCTAGTTAATAGGATTAATATGATTCGTATCTAACAAGTTCAAACTTCTTTTCCCCATCTACAAATAACTCCAAGGTTAAGCGTGGGCACGGGCGATGGGTGACATGACCGAATCGGGAAGTTATTCCCAAAAGGCATGCGCTAGCAGTGAGGACAAAGTGCGCAGAAAAGAAGACATGTTGATCTGGAGGAAAAGGCTTATCCTGTCAAATATATAGCGCCCCTGCCCTCGGAGAAGCGGGACGTTACAAGGTAGTTTCTGTCTGAATCAATTTATCAATAGCTCAGTTCCTGGTTTCCAAACTTCCTACTGTTATAGATTATGTGCAATAATATTGACAAAGAACAGCTGCTCTACGGGAAGAATGTTTGAGAGGAACTCTGCAGCGTTGAGAGTTAGACTTTGACCTTGCAAATTTGTGGTACACTCGGAGAATGTGATAGATGATGCGCGGTGGGAGAGGCAGCTAGATACGAGGGCACATAGTAATTGCTCCGATTGCACAAAAATAGCATAAGTGATTAAATATATGCCTTTTATGCACCGGTATATTCCATCAAGAATTTATGGGATGTTGAAAATATATAATAGCATAAGAATCTTCTTTGGCATAATTTTCTCTCCCAGTCGTAGCCACTTTTATGCACTAGTAATGGTTGCATTGACTTTTATGCCGTTATTAATCGACTTCTCTACTCCTTAGATTATCCAAAATTCCTGAATAGTGACATTTTAAAAATAAGACTAAGAATACAATATGTTTATGTTTTATGTGGTATTCGGTTCATTCTAAATTATAAATCGTTCTACCATATTTTCTAGATGCATACCTTTTTATGAAGTAACTAGAAAGTAGCGATGTATCTAGAAAAGCCGAAAAGACTTGAAATGAGTGAGTACTTATTTGACTATGATTGAATATTATATGATTCTTTAGGTTTTGTTTTCTTTTTCTAGAAACAACTATTTAGTGTCTAGAGACTAATCACCTATAAAAAACAATTATGAGGCTGTTGGTGTTACCAACAGTCTGTAAAAATATCCTCTATATTTCACAGATGGTCGGTGTTAACTAACCATAGGAATACTATTTCTTGATGAAGCGGTATTATAGACCGTCACCGAAATAAATGCATTTAATTTCTAATAAAGAGATCAAAAGTGTGGTATCATGGAATGGGGCCTTATACGTGACAAGAGGTTACTAGGTTCGAATCCTAGGAATTGCGTATACACATGTATTTCACACGAAAAATGCATGTGACTTGACAGCCACATTACTTTAGTAGCAAGTTTCTTGCAGAATTAACTTTATTTTACTATTTTTTATCATTTATGTAAAATGATTTCTAGGAGTGGGATACGTTACAAACCATCCCTTGAGATCAATTTTCAAGTACGGTCGACGACCTCTAAGGCAGTTGATAATGTAGCTCGCCTTGTAGAAATCAATTTCAAGGAATACTTGAGTTTAATAGATTCTTAGATAGAGGCAATTGCGGTACGCACACCTAAAATTCAGTATTGACTATTGTTGAAAATGGTCTCGATAGTGCTCCCTCTAATTCTAAATCATAATATGTTTTCATTTTTTTTTAGATTTACTATATACACTATGTTTAGATACATAAAAATAATATATCTAGAAAAGTTAAAGTATCTTATAATTTGGAATGGAGAGAGTAGTGGTGTAAGTCTAAGGCCTTATTTAAATCTAGGTGTAAAGTTTTGGGGTGTCACATCGGGTGTCACATGAGGTGTTTGGATACTAATAAAAAATAAATTACAGAATCCGTCAGTAAAATACGAGATGAGTTTATTAAGCCTAATTAATCCATCATTAGCACATATATTACTAGCATCATATTGTCAAATCATGGACTAATTAGGCTTAAAAGATTCACCTCGCAAAGTAGTTGCAATATGTGCAATTAGTTATTTTTTTAGTCTATATTTAATACTCCATGCATATATCCAAATATTCGATGGGATAGGGTGTAAAATTTTGGGAGAGAAATTAAACAAGGCCTAAATTAAGAATTTTGTACTCCATCGGATCGGATATACATAGTTCGTTATGTAGTACATGGTAAATGTAACACCTAAAATTTGCATCATTTAAAAATAGATTAACTTGATTTATTTATGCATTTTGTGAGCATTTTAACTTAGAAAAATAATAACATTTGTTAAATTAAAATTAATTATAGGGTCTAGCTACATGTTTGTGCATACATGCTGCAGGATTAGAGTTTTTTTTTAAGTAGTTTCATTCAAAACTCAAAAAGAATTCAAAAATCCATTTAAAAATTTGCTTTGAAAATTTAGAAAAGAAAATGAAAAGGAATTTACCCTCCCTCTCTTCCTTTTGGGCCGCTATCCCTCTTCGCAGGCCCGTCTTCCTGGCCCAGCTAGCAGCTAGTTGAGCCGCTCCTCTCTCCCTCTGTTGGCTGATGGCCGGGCCCGCCCTTCACCCACTGACACCCCGGGCCCGCGTGTCAGCCGCATCCTCCACCTCCAGCTCGTGTTCGACGGGACTCTGATCCGAGCAAGACTTCGCCGCTGCCCTGATTTCTCGCGGTTTGCGTGCGCCCCACGCCGCTCCGCCTCTTAAATAGCAGCCGCGCCCACGCCGCCTCCATCTAGCCGCTTTGAAGCCGCCTCTGTGCCCTAGCCGCTTGCCCGAGAGCACCGTAGACCCTAGCACCGCCGCCGCATCAATCTGCCTCAGCGCCGCTTCGTTGCTATGAACCCGCTACCGAGCATCTTCGGGAGGTAAGGACTCCTTGACTACCGCCCTTGCCCTCTCCCTCGTTCTCTACCGCCTGCTAGCTCACCGAGTCTCACCGTGAAACCCGAGCCGCCACACCAAGCTCGAGCTCGCCTCTGTGCCGTCGCAGCCGCTCTAGATCCCCACCTCGAGTTCGCCTCGCCCTCTTCTCTCTCCTCGTGTTTTTCCCGTGTCCGATGATGCCCGGAACATCGAAATCGACAAACGCCGATGAGGTCCCCGTTTTCCGGCCATGGCGCCGTCGTCGGCTTCTTGTGCGCCGACAACTCCTTCTCCTCTCTTCTAATCTCCACCGTTCAGAGCAGATCCAACGACCCAGATTGAACCATACCGGTTCGCCTATCGTTGTTGTTTTAGAAAACCCCTTGGATTTCTTCGTTATTCTGCCCGCCGTCCTCGGTCTAGATTCAAAAATCAGATTTTATTTATTTTAATTCAAAAATGAGTTCTATTTAATTACAGTTTTGCCACTAAACTTGTTTTAAGCATAAAATCTCCGTTTTACCTCCAATTTAAGCCGTTCAAGTCGCGTTAGATTTGTAATCGTGTAATCTACATGTTCATCCTGCTGCTAAACATGTTTTCAACTTTTAAAATTCGAGATTAGTT